GTCAAAGGAAGAGAGCCTAGAAAACGAGAAATGCTGGCAGTTCTCATTCCACTTTGTAAAAGACTGCGACAGAAAATAAACGAACGAATCTGGATACTCCTGGGACTGCACTGCCTTGAACCATGACAAGCAGTGAACGCATAAAACGAGTGTCGCTTATGTTAAATTTTTAAAGGAGCCTTTGGAGCTTTTGTCGAGGACCTATCTCTACAGTATTCAAATGAGATGTCTCAGCGAACTTTTTCTGATTCGTTGCCATGATTTTGATAATCATTTTGTATGAAAACTATATGCCCGCTTCGAACGAGATTGCGTTTACAAACGCATGACCACTCTGCCTTGAACTGAAAAAAGAATGCCAAGAAGTTGAACCTTGAATCAGTTCCTCTCTTTTCTTTTCTTCTGTCTTCCATTTTATTTTATTCTTCCGATCTTTTTGATAATGGCTTAATTGATGTTAATCATCATTCTCCCTATCTTCGTTAAAACAAACTGAGACAGCATTGAGGAGCAGATTGTTTCGCACCTGGAATACTATGCAATCATGCCCCCATGCTGAAAATCTTGCAAGGGTGATCAGTTGAAACAACAGTCTTTGCAGCCATGGGCTGGACCGAGGCTAATAAGAGAATATCAAGTAGACAGAGTCTTCTTGGACATTTATAATGCATTTGATAAAGTTACAATATTCAAACTTAAACTGTAGGATGATAAAAGCGGAAGTATGACGTGCGAACGGATCAAAAACTTCTCAGGCTATCCTGCTTCCTGAGTTGTGTCTGTAATAATTATTTAAAAACCATGGTCATCTTTAGCGCAGGCCACAAGGCGCTGTTTTACCTCCTACGTTACTTTGCATGATTTGCCTAATTTCTGTACTTCATTAAGGTGCAGATGTGCAATGTAGCAAATGAAATTAGATCTTTTTAAGGTTGGTAATTGAGCTGGCTGGTATAGATTGTTGCAACTGTGTCCTAGAACCTAAGAGGCAATTGTCAAATGAAAATCGAGCTATTTCTAGCTCCCTCCCCCCTCCCAGAAAAAACATGTAAAAATCAATGTCTCTAGGAGCAGTGCGTACCCAGGATTTCGGCTCTGAGTGGGGGGGGGGGGGGGAGGGGAGCGACAAAAAATCTTTTGAAGGTGCGTAAAGTTAGCCAAAAATTTTTCGCCCCCGAAAAAATTTGCTTACAAGGGTAATTTGGATTTTTAAATTTTTTAAAAGTTATTTTAATTATTTACAAGTAAATACTAGTCCTCTGCACATTTTTATAACACATTAAGTAACTTTCAAAAATTTCGTGAGCCATTCCCTCCCCCCGCCCTCCCCCCCCCGTCGGTACGTCACTGCTTTAGGAGCTAGAAAAGAGCCGAGTTTCTTCGCTTTTAACGAGAACCTTGTACTTAAAGGCACCGTCCATCCAAAATGGGATTGATGGGATTTTGATGCCTAACAGCGGTGAGGCCCCCAACTGTATACTTGTCCAATTCGCGCCTTTAAAAGTTACTTCTGATGCGAGAAAATTGCCTCAAAATTCGCTCGATGACAGTTTCGTTACGTTGGCTCCTCCCCTTGAGTGGGCGTGACGTTCGTCCCTCCCATCCGTGCGCACCCAGCCAGTCACCGTTCCGAAAAACTCGCAAACGGCGAAAAGCGGGGTCTTCCCCACCATGGATTCACGCTCCCGGCTTCCGGAGCGATCTTCTCGATTCCGCTAGCCGCCCCGACATTTCCACCGGCGAGTGCAAACGCATGATCGCTTCAGAAGCTGGGAGTGTGAATCCACAATGGGGAGGACCCCGCCCACCTGCTAACTTTCTCCTGCGTCAGATCACTTTTTTCGCCGTTTTTTCGCTCTCCGATATGGATTTTTGAATTTAGCATAGCGATTGAGCCCGAATAAGCACAATATCTGAAAAATGACTTTTTGACCGGATACTGCCTTTAGATAAATGTATTAAAAAATTTGAGTTTTACATCTTCTACGAATTTTCAGTAGAAGTTTCACTGCGTACATATGGCCCTTTGTCGGAGCTATGACATTTGTTTTTAATACCAGATTTGAGACGTTGCTTTTTAGGAGTCCAAAACAACTCTTCCAAAAAGTTTTTCGAGGGTTTAGGTAACTACCCCCTTATATCCTGTAGTCAAGGTAAACTGTATTTCTTTAGTTTGCCTTTCAAAAAGAAAAAAGTCTTTCGGTGGCATACAAGATTTTAGCCGAAAAACGCAAAATGACAATTTTGAAATTCCTAACATCTACGCTCTAGAGTCAAAATCCTGTTAGTAAGAACCCTGAAGCCAAATTGCTTGGTAATCTATCACTGAAGGGAGCGTCTGCCTGGAGCAAATGACACAAATGCTCTTCAGATTCGAGTCGATTTTGTACTCCTGCAGCTTTCCCGCTTCCTGATCGTGATATTATTTTTACTGTCTTTGTGTTCTATGCATATATCTTCTTGTATTTTTTTTGCTGATGTTTCGTGTTATTATCATTTACGTGTTTCTGCAAGTTTTAACAAATGGATGAATAAAATGTTTCGTACTGAAATGTTAGGCATGCGATAAAGCAAATTTTGCACATACGGGAGCCTGATGAAAGACAAACTTATCGCGATTTATCTAGCGAAGCAAGCGTTGGAACGGCGTTTCAAATTAGAAATACAGATGCAATTTACAGCGCGAAGTAACCTCGATTAGTGTTAGTAGAACTATACATAATGAAACTCACTCACCAAAATATTGAAGACAAATTTGATTGCAGAAAGTACAATTCGTTTATACTTACAAGGGAAGGATACTAACTTAGATTCGCCTACTGAGATGAGACACATTTATTTGGAATCAGCTTTGAACGCTGATTCCAAATATGCTATTCCTAGCCTCTTAGCGTTATTCTGAAGCGAGTTATGGTCTCTTTTCTATGCAAAGTTTGCGTATCCTCGAGCTACGGATGCTACGGTGTGGACGTCTAGGTGGTTTTGCGATTGAATAATGATCCTTTTCATAATTGAAAGGATTGAATTTGATGCTGTTTCAACGTCCTAGCACTTTTTTCGAGCAGATTCTTATCTACACGCCTTCTTACGACATTGAGAGGTTTGTTACTCAGATAACCGCCGGGGGCAGGCGGCCATGCGAATTTTGAGCAAGCGCGCACCGGAAAAATAGTTCGTTGATTTTTTGCGGCCCGCTTGCAGAAATTTGGAAGAAAGTTGACAAAATTAAAGACGAATGCTTGAAGAACAATCGCGGTTTCTTTATGGATTAGCTGCGGCGCAGTGGCCGCATTCTCGCAAACTTTCCGCGAGAATATGCAAAAATTTTGAGGGCCGCACGTTCCTTTGTGGAGGACCGCGCAACCCCCAGGTACTTTCCGCTGAGAGAAAGTACCTCAAACTTGAGTAATTAAACCAACGGTGACACCTCTGCCACACAGTCTTACCTGCGCTCGACGTACGCCCGAAAATACCTAAAAAGAGTCCAAGCGCTTGCTGAAAGTTTGGCCAGCGCTCGCTGGAAGATATTATTTGACGAGCGCTCGCAGAAAATTCTGTATTGCTGCCCGCTGGCAGAACGCGGAAGTACCGCCCGCTGAAGGTTTGGCCACGCCCCAAAATTCTGCTGACCGCCTGCAGAAAAGCGCGAGTTTGCGGACCGCCTGCCCCCGGCGATTATCTGAGTAGTTGCTCACGATAGCAAGCCCATAAGCTTGGTAATAATGCTAAGCAGCTACTCAGACAATCGCCGGGGGCAGGCGGGCACCGGATAGTTTGCTGATCTCTCGCACCCCGCTCGCGGATTTTTTGCAAAGCAATCAGGACTTTTCGGAAGACCGCTTGCTGAATTCTCGATTCCTCAGAGATTCAGCAATATATCTGCAAAAAATAAGAGCGAAAAAAATTCAACAGGCGGTCTCTCAAAAATCCGCTGACTCAGCAAGCGGTCTTCCGAAAAGTCCTGATTGCTTTGCACAAAATCCGCGAGCGGGCTGCAAAAAATCAGCAATCTATTTTTCCGGTGCCCGCCTGCCCCCAGCGATTGTCTGAGTAGGAATAGCATATTTGGAATCAGCGTTCAAAGCTGATTCCAAATATATGTGTACCATCTCAAAAGGCGAATCTAAGTTGGTATCCTTCCCTTGTTAGCATCAAAATGACGACACGCATGCAAATAAAAGAGAAAAAATAATGGACTGCTTGGGAAAGACTGAAGTTATATCATAATAACAAGTATCGATTTCAATGTGTGAGCACTTTTTCGACTTAGCCTACTACGTCGGCAAAATTTCTGAATCCTCCCTGTTGTAAGAGAAGTATATGGAGTTTGAAGCCGGAAGTGAGTTTAAAGCTCTTTGGCAAGTTCTTCTTGACCTTCATCACTAAGAAGTGGACGACGCAACTACCAGTACAAAAGGCGCTGGAAATGCTTCAGTGATGCTAATGGCTTCCATCGAGGCAAGCTACATTTTCTGCGCTTTTGCTGCTATCTGTGCTCTAAATGGATTCGTGGAGTGAACTTTTCTAAAGGATTGTGTCAACTACAACTTTCAGTTACCTAGATAGATCCCATACGCGTTCTAACAGATGAAACAGGAAAAATGGAATGGGACCGTTTGAAAGTTGACTGACGCTGGAGCAAGGTGAAATAATGTATCTTACCATTAAGGGATGGGCAACATCGCGCGACGTAAGCGGTGTACGTGAGGTATGCAGCACCACAAGTGAATAATGATGCGGGGCACACTGCATATGTCGCGTTCGCTACGTCGCGCAGTCTGGCCTAATTTAACGGAAAAGAAACCGAGTGGAGACGAGCGCATCAATTTAGGTATAAAATGCTAATTCAAATCTAATACCAATTTTGCTACGTGGACAATCTGACAAGTTTGCCTGCACAAATAAAAAGGATGTACATATATGCACACTGACGTATCATGGGAGAAAACGCCAGAACGTGGAAATGTGTTGAAATTGGTGTGTTATTCTACTAGATGTACACAGTCAAAAATAAATTTATTATATTGTTGTCATCCACCATTTTGTGAAAAATAAATACCCATCACTGTTCCTCTATATCTCCGTTTTCCTTGACACTTCTCAAAAACGCATCAATAAGTATGAGGAAAACAACTGCAAGAGCTTCTTACCCTTTAGCCTCATGCAGAGCCCTTATTAGTCCACCAAAGCGTTGTATATGGCCTTTTTTATGCTCCAGCAGCCTCTCGATCTCTTTTATATCCTCCGGGAGAATTAGTTTCTTCTCTTCTTCAGTCAGCTTGTTCGGATCTAGGTGAGGTTTGGGGATGACATCCTGCAGTCTTTGGATAAACAAAAAATCGGCAATTGGAGTGTTGATCTATCTTACCTGGATTCTAAATGATGCTCTTGTATGAGGGATGAATTTTTCCATGGGAGGACCTACACTTGGACATTGATCGGCAATCTCAGTCGCCATCATGCGGGCGATGAAAGTGTTGCGGTCCAGTACGTAGTTCAACTCTAGAAGTATTTTTATCAAACAACTTGTCTTAACAAAAGGGGCATCACATATCAATTAGAGAAATGGTCGATAATGAAATTTTTTTTTGTTCAACCTTGTTGCATAGAGCCATGTACTTTGGTAACCGCCATCCTGAGAATAAAAGAAAGCAAGCCTTTACTTGAAAAAAAGCAGAAAGCATTTGGAAAGAAGCCGAGATTTTTGTTTATTTGCAACTGCATTAGATCGTAAATAGAGCGGTATAGTGTGTGGTAACTCGGTAAAATACCCAGCAACATCGGAAAGTTGTGTCTTACGGCCTATTTTGTGTTGAAAACAAAATTTTTGTGAGAATCTCTTAAATTGGCTAACAGTGTCCTTTAGATATAATTTTCTTGGACTACAAATAAGTCAAAAATTCGCGAAGAGCGTTGGTGAACAATAAAAGCCAGAAACAGCGCTTAAGCCTCGCGCACAAAATGCTGATTTATCTCTTAAGAGATGATTATCAGAAATTATAGCGTCAGGATTTTACGATTTACGATATGTTGTCGTTTTACCTTAATGAGGATGATATACAGGGTGTCCCAAAAAATGTGCCTACTGTTTGATTGTAAATAACTCTCTTGTAATGAAGTGTTTTGAAAAGCTTTAGGTACCCTTTTGTAGAGCGAGGTTAAACTTAGATCTACGGCACAGAGCGAATCATCGATCGCTCTTCATTACTGTAGGATTACGGTAAGAACTTCCAGCATATGGTTCTAATGTGAAATTTACTACCTTATAAAATTTTTTTCAAAAAATCTGAAAAATCGTGTATTATGGTTTTCGCGCATGCTGATTCCACCTAACAACTTTTTACGATTGTTTTCAGCTTTTTTGACGGTTTAATTCCATTTCTGACAAATGCTGGGAACTGAGCTATTACGATTTACCGGGGATAACTTTGGAAAGAAGCATCACAGTAGAATGGAAATTTCAAGTTCGGAATCAGCAGCTCCCTTTACCGTAGTATAGGAGTTTTTGGCTTGTTCGGTTTTGTTCCGAGGCAGAATATAGCCTCCAACGGCCCTAAAATCCTTGTCGAAATTCGTACCGTAATGAAGAGAGATAGATGATTCGCTCCATACTGCAAATCTAAGTTTAACCTCGCTCTACAAAACCGTACCTGAAGCTTCTCGAAACACATCATCACAAGGGAGTTATTCACAATCAAACAGTAGGCACATTTTTTTGGGACACCCTGTATAATGTTACAGAGTTTCGTTAAGCCTCGATCTCTGACCGAAGCCATCTCACCCGTAGACTCTGCCTTTTCTCGTTTGCTAGTCTGCACCTCACTCGTCGCTCGTAGGGTTCCTTCAAAGCACGCCGCGTCCTGCGGCGTGCGCCGCTGCAGTCGTAGTGAAAATATAGGCTGGCTCGCTTTGAAGGGGAACGAGCTCGTTGAACACGAACGTGTGGCAAATATAGATATATAAACATTCATAGAGAAGCTGTGCTGCCGTGAGCGTATATTTTCACTTCGACCGCAGGACGCAGCGTGTTGCGGCGTACTGCCGCGTACTGCGGCGTGCGCCGCAGCACCTTGCGGCGTAGTATGAAGGAACCCGTAGGAGTGGATTGCTACCCTTCTCCCGCGGATCATTTAGCTCCGATACCCTTTTCCCGCTTCCAAGTACAGTTTTAGCAATTATATAATAACTCTCACAGTATGTGCAACTTCCGTGAATGTCGCGGAAGCAAATAGCAAGCAGCAAAGCACATTGCGAGCAGCAAGCAAGCAAGGCACATTCAAGAAATTTTGCGCGTTCTGTGAGCGGTATTGTATACAATCCTGTGGTTCTTGATCTCCGCTGATTATGAAGCTTCGTCGAACTCCATCTTGAGACAACGTCGCCGATAATAATAGAAACGACGGGGTAAAAATTCAATAGGAACATCAAAAATTTAATCAACGTTGACGTGCATTTTGACTTTGGACCAAATTTCCCGTTTTATGCTTACTTTTTTCTTTTCTATCCTCTTCCCACGAACTACTACTTCCAAACGCTGACTATCTTCAAAACTATCATAAAAAGGAAAGTTTTTTCCTGTTTTTCCCAAATTGAGCGGAACAGTGCAATATGAATTCTGGCGAAAGAAAGAATTCAAAGATTTTCTGCGTATATCTGGTTTTTACGGATTCTTTGCTATTTCATTTGCGTTTTTTTTCTCCTTTTTTCAAAAACCTAATTTAGGAAGGAGGGAGGATAGGAGGGGGCAGCAAACTAGACAACTTCACCTATTTCTGCGTTCGGAGGGTATGGTTCAAAATGAACAATAAAGTGCTTTCGAAAAGTTCAAAAAGAGTGCGGACCGAAGTCATCATCGTCTTCTCCGAAGGGATTCATCAAGACTTGCCCGACCTTCAACCATCCAAGATAAAACAACATTTGAAATGTTGTGAAGATGGGGAAAAGTATGGCAATTTCCTGTAAATAATTTTTCCTCTCTCTGTGCATAAAGTCCAGTTTGTTCTTACCGTTTCCATAGAATTCTGATCAAGCTTTGGTTGCCGACCAATCAAGCAAATTACGAAATAGCCATAAGTTGCAATGGCTACTACCTAGACAGTGTCACTCAAATGGATAGCTCAAAAAAAGCGCATTGACTAACTTGAGCGTATACTAATGGGATCTTCACCCAGTCATAAATCCAGAGCATGAAAAAACCATGTCGATAGCTGTACAACTAAATAACATCACTGATTGGTAAAATGAGCTTGTGAAATTTGGCTGAGCTTAGCCGATAAGCTAGCCTGTTGTAAGAGCATGTCCATTTGAATGCTATCGATTTTCCCAAGCGCATATTGCTTTTTGATAAGATTAACAGTCCACATAATTGGAACAAACCTGCAAGAAAATAGTACATTTCATTTTTTGAAGACAGCAGTAGTCAAATTTGAGCTGGATGCATTTGGAACGACCATGTTTGACTGATTGATAGGTCTCACCATCTGCCGTGCGTGCCGTCTACACTCTTAAACAAGTCGTATTCTTTCTTAGTCATCAGCTTTGACTCTACAAAATGTATTTCTTCAGGGAATCTTTTCCGTGTTCGCAGTGAGATTTCCGACCAAGAAATGGCTGCCTAAATTTTTTATTTTAGTTTTTGCAATTCTAACGAAAAGATATGTGCTTGCAGGAGCTTACTTGCAAGGAGGACCATCTAGCGATTGTTTGTCGTATGGCGAGATTTTCTTTCCCGGGCAAGCAGGCGGAAACCATCATCATCATTTTGTCGGGCCATGAGATATAGTTGAATTGCTCCCACCTCAAGGACCCGATCCATACAACATCGATGTGGCATATCATCCGGTTAGTGCAGTACTAATATGTTTATCGAAACTTGAATCTACATAATTTTTCCTTGAAGGAATCGTTCAAAAGTTTTGTCAATTCTTTTGAGAAAGAGTGAAATTAAAGAGGTAAGACACGTTTGACATATGCCCTCGTTGCACATTATGCCAACTATCAGATACGGTAACAACCTGAAAAATTTGCTATCAGCCAGACAATAACGCTCCAAAAGGCCTATACTCCATTGTGGTATGAAGCGAACACTTTTATCAAATGCAGACCAGCAGTATTTGCAAAAGCCTGGTCAAAAATCTTATTATCAGCTATGAAAATTATATATGTCAAAAATAGCGGTTGACCGCTACTTACCCCACAAATTAGGACTTCTTTCAAGCGAGATATAGCTCTTTGTTTTTAGCGTTGAAAAACTAGAGGTCCTAGCTATGTCGTGACACCATCAGCGACTTTGAAAGAACAGCAGATGATACGCCAAAGAAGAGTAAGATTGTCATTACACTTTACAAATTATCTTTGCTTGACAGCCAATTCGTTGAAATAAAATAGAAGGTGCATGCTTTGATAGCAAAATTTTTGATCTACCTAGTATTAATTTTAAGCACAACATATCCTTTCTTTTTAGTTATCTCTTACTTTGACAAAGGAATATGGACTCTACCATCTCGCCACGATCACTGTGACAAAGAAACCGAGAAGAAAAGATAGTGGAATGTACTGCAGTCCAATTTCACACCAACGAATCCATCCGCTAAAGTACTCTTTTTGCTTCTCGTCTAGCACATACCACTGAAAAAAAAATATGTACATTACCACAGAACCAGTGACTTTTGTAAAAACTAACCTGGAGAGCAAGGATCAAATAATATGCTATGTAAAAAGCAATGAGATCCTTAAGTACAGCTTTCCACAATGATCCACGCCATCGCCACATCAATGATGGTGAGTCTTCGTCGTACGAAATCGTCATTTTTGATACCTAGAGACTGTAGAGCAAACAACAGCATCTTAACAATTACGACAAGTGCCAAGAAGCTAATGACATAAGTCTGAGAAACAAACAACATGTAGAAAGAATGGAAGTTTTCTGTTCTGATTGAGGTGCATTACTGGGCCACTGTAAACACCTACGGCCCATTGTAGAAAGAAAATTATAACAAAGAATATAGAAATAGAAAATGCATTATCTCAAAATTAAAATAATTTGGAAACAATCGGTGGCTTTTTGGAAGAGTTTTCGCATCTTTGGACTTACCCTTTCCTCATGCTTCTTGAAATTTAATCCAACAATATTATAAGGTGAAACTGCTTTCCTTGCAATGCTATTGATCTTTGAAAGAAAGAAATTCTGTAAATTTCAAGCTTTTTATCGTCGAATTCGTTGATAAAATACACATTGTCTGTCTAGGCTCTGCAAGGCATTTGATACAGTAAAATTTGGATTTCTCAAGGTAAGTGCAACACAGACATTAAGATTTACTGGTGGGTCAAAAACCTTCCTAAGTAATAAAGCATTATCTATTTGTATTCATATCGATACTCCATTGTTACTATAGTGAAATGCATATCTGAAGTCTGATAATAGGAGCTGCTCATCAAAACTTTCTAAGTGCAAACTGAAATAAGATTCGAAAAAAAAAGCTATATCATTTGCACTTGACAAAGTGAATAGTCCATATAAAGTAGAAGTTTAGCAAAACTAAAATATATGAAAGGAAATTGCTCTTGAATGACGCATCGTCTAAACACCATGAAGTGATTTTTGCACCTGTGATGTGTTTGCGCTTGCATTGTATGTCTGAGAATTTTATGGGCAAATGGATCAAGTTTTGGAGTGTGAAAAATGTGCAATTGAGGCTGCCATGTAGATATGAGTAAAGTCAGATTGGGCAAAGGGTGGAATTGGAAGACATACTTAGTTACTAGTTTTCTTTCTGAGAAACTATCGACAGTCTTTCTTAGAAAATAAATCAGCTGTTTTAACCAAGGCAAGTGTTTGTGAGATGGCGGAACCAGCATGAGACGAGCAAATATCACCGAAAATATTAGAACCGTTGCCTATTGCGCTAGAAAAAAAACTTGGGGCAGTTGTTTGCTTTTGATATTGGAAAACGAATAGTGAAAAAAAAACTGTCTCCACATAATCGCGTCTGGCATAAATCTATCGTACATGCTACAATAAACCCATGCCAAACGCTGAATATGTGTAGACCGCTCCCATCCATGATCACACCTTCCCTTCCTCCCCTCCGCACTCTCTGAGCCATTGGATTTATTTACACTTTCATAAGCGAAGATGCCCAAAACGATGTAGACGATGTTAACATTGAGGGTAAACTTTGCAACAAATTTTGATTGCAGTGTTCGAGAGTCAACTGTAGTGGCCTTCAACTTCTTTTTGTAAAGGCCTTCCATGGAGTAATCGATACAAGTCGTTGCGCAATGCTGCAAAGATTATTTCATCCATCAATAACTCGGTTACAAAAATTTCGCTCAGAGCAAAAAAGTTCTTTTACCGAACTAATCGATGAAGCTGTCATGGTAAGGACATATTTGTATGAAACAAATCATTACAAATTATCATGCTCTGCTTACCATTGTGCAACAAATGCTTTGTGAACATGAAGAACACAGAATGTCATATCTATTTTTGCTTTGATAAAACAAATTGGATTCCTGCTAAGCGAAATATAAGGGCAAATTGCAAAGATACATATGGATTACTTGCCTACGTCTTATATACATCGGGGCGACGTTTTAGTTAGCAAAATCAAGTTCGCTAATGGAATATTGTACAGATAATTGGCAACTACTACCATAGCAGCTGCAAATTGTTTGAGTGAAAGCCACTTGCTTACTTGTCTGTCTCACTGAATAATCAGGAATGCATGATCAATGCATGGGAGAGGTGACAATGTTTTCACTGACCCCTTGAAGAAATTATTTCAAGCTAGTCTAACCGAATCTATGAACTAACAGTTTTCCTTACAAGGGAACGATCCCAACTTAAGGTGGCGAATTAAAATGAAACGCAAATCATTAGGTACGTCTTGATGAGCTGATTCCAAATCTGTCATCTATATCTATAATGCCGTTCTCTGGAAAAAGCTATGAGCGTTCAAAAATGTGAAGTCATTCGGGGTTTCAATGAATAGTTTGCTCCGAAATCCAACTTGGGAGTGCATGAATAGCATAATATTGAGTATAGTGATTTCAAGGAATGTTCACATTCAAGGGAAACACAAAGAAGTGTTTTTGATGAACTACCCTATTTTCCGGAGCATAAGGCTCACCCTTGTATAAGGCGCACCTGCCGCGCGAACTTTAAAGCGAAAGTTGCGCCCTAGGTTTGGGCTAAGATTAAGCTGTAGTTTAACTGTCTGCTTATCTATATTTTACCTGGAGGTTGCTAAATAAGCGCTTCAGAGTTAGAATGTCAGTGCTTTCAATTTTCGGAAAAGTTTAGCGACATTTTGAATAGATGTAGACGTAAACGAACTCAGTGGCAGACATTGGATGAGCTCTAAATGATAACAGTACGGGTGTTTTAGTGTAAAAATTTTGTTTGGCGGAAATGATAAATTGAAGATAAAGCGGACTGATTTTTTTGACAGCTCATGACCACAAAAGATTTGACAGAGGACGAATGCACAAAACTGTTACGAAAAGTTGGTACCACTACACTCCGCGTCGTCGCGAAGCTGCTCGCGCGCGGTGCACAAAAATGCGCTTTATACTTCGAAAATAGGGTAATTCTCGAGGTAGGACGCCGTATATTTGCCAAAGTTTCACCAAAGAACTCTAGTTGTTTTTTAGATGTTAAAAACACTTATGTGTTACCCTTGAATGTGAGCAATCTTTGAAACCAGTACACACAATATCATGCTAGTCATGCATTCCCCAGTCGGATTTTGGAGCACATTATGCATTAAAACCCCAATGACTTCACATTTTTAAACGCTCGTAACTTTTTCCAGAGAACGGCATCGCAGATACGGAAGGTAGATTTAGAATCAGCTCATCAAGACGCATCTAACGATATGCGGTTCATTCCAATTCACCGAATTAAGTTGGGATCGTTCCCTTGTTAGTGAATTGAACTTCCTCTTAGATATAGCAAGCAAGGAAGCTGTACTATTGATTGCGTCAAGTCTTACTGTGACCTATCTGAAACTCAACTCAAAATCTTGTGTCCACCTAATTTTAAAGAATAGTTCGCGTTGACACAAAGTGCATGTTTTTTCGGCCTTGGTGGGCAAAATCGGGCAAATAAAAGTCGAAATAAAGAAACGTAATAAAGGAAGGAAGAAGACCTTTGGAACTACCGCCATTATGCGTGCTGAGCCGCGCAAGCTTTGTACGGATATTATCGTATCTCGGATATTATGCATATCAAGGACGTTGGATGAAGCTCAGTTTCAAGAACAAGCTGCAAAAGGTGCAGGCATGAATCCAGACTAGAAGATCAGTCTGTCGGAAATACCGCTTGCTTCTCGTCCTAAGCTTTGTCCATTATGAGAAAAGCTTCGGCAGCGTCGGACCAACGTCGTCATGTCAGCGCTAGTCGATCAAGCAGTGGACGTTTACATGAGGAGATTTGCCAACTGTTATAAGAACTTTACAACGACAGTGCAACTATTCCATCGCCCCCTGACATTCCATTGCGAATTGGATCGGCAAGGCCAAACTAGTTCGCCAAAACTCTTCACCGCGGGTGGTGGGTGATGAAGCCACTCGATGGGACGAGAAAGGCGTGCGAGACGATGGGAGTGTCCTCCTTCGTTTTGTGGCAGACATAGAGGAGAACTTTTTAAGGAGTATTACTGAAGCAGAGACGATGCTGAAGGAGCCAAACGATGGAAGAAGATTGAGTTGCAAATAATTCGAAAAAAGACTTGAAAAAAAAAACGCTCTTTGAGAAGATGTGGAAAGGGTGGAACAACTCTTTGCTTATCCACGGACACTGATACAGGTTTTTCAATCTAAACGTTTTCTGCTGGATTGGAAACATGTATCAGTCTGTGGATAAGCAAAGAATTCTCTTTAGATGTAGGGTGCTGCCACATCGAGAGACTTGTGTCAGCTGCGTTCATTGCTCACGCAGTATCTCAATATGCTATCCGTGCTAATAAGCTATACTTTTTTCTTTCACTTTTTCCCATCAAGCTATCCTGAGCAGATAATTTCGGTTCAGGCGTATAGCTTTACGACGTTTGAATGTACTCTTCGGCTGTATCAGATACCATTGCCTCGTTCTGGAAGGGTCCTGTACTTTTTACATTCAGAAAGACCCATCGCCGTTACTCTCAGTAGTGTTCCACAGGACCAGAAAAGGGTGATAGTCAGCTGATATCTTCAGACTTTCGTATTTCAAACGGCATCTTGATCTTCTCGAACTTTTTTGTGGCAGAAGAGGTGAACGATATAGGTGAAGGAAGGGAAGGTTTAGTTCAAAAATCAGCTCGCATAAGTTTTGTAACAAAATCGAACTTTATCACAAGGTTCGATCACAAAATTTTTCTTTTATGTACCTCTTGCCAGCTGCAACTTTGATGACCACCGATATGCCATCGTGCTCTTATCTTGTCTAGTCGTGATCCGCTGGATTACATGGACAACATCATATAGCGAAAGCTTCGAATATTCCTGAACGCACGGAATTTCTTCAAGCTCAGTTTTAGGTAAAACATCTACTCAACATTCTTAATTTCCCCATTTAGGTTTGAAACCTTTCATATGCCTCAGCGTGACACATCGTAGAAAATAAGTTACCATGTAAATAAAGCGTACCTATAAGAATGCGAGAATTTCTTCGAAACGTACCTAAATGCAACCAAACATAAGAGACCCTCGAAGTGCATGACTTAGTCAAGAAGTTTTTAGCCTTGCCCGAGAGTAAATTGGTTAACAAATGCGAGGGTTATGGCGGCAAAAAACGGGCGTAGTTTTACCTAGGACTGAGCTTTTTCACTCAGAAGTAATTGACTCAGTCGTCTAAACGCTAACTGCAAATGTGCAAATTGTGGCACAGGAAAAAGTAGAAATGCTCTATACGCCAAAGAAGTACATGTAAAAATGAAACAAGCACGTATGCAATATCTATTAGGTTGTCCGGAAATTAATGCAGGCTTTGAATTTCTACCGCATCAAGTCATACAGTTTTTATTCCTAATTAGGTTGCAAAGCACTATTTGATAGAGCAAAGCAAGCTCTACAAGATGGCAATCTTGCTTTAGCAACAGCTTTGATCCACCACGAGTTTCGAACCAAAAACCAAAAAGATTCAACTGTGCGAAAAATTAGAAAAATCGTAACTCAGTTCATAAAAATCCTACAAAAAACCCAACTTGCTCACATAAACGCCATCCACACAAGACATCTATATGCGCCGCTGCCGTATTTTTTCTCTGTTAGAAATCAAGAAAACGGAAATTTTCGTACATTTGCCAAAGTGGTGTTCTGCTGTCCTCACATAAGTAGTTGTATACTACAAGCCCGTAGAAGTACGAACGTAAATTTCCAGCCCTCTAAAAGCTTTAGTTCTCGAGAAATATCGAATACAGCTTTCCCTAGTCAGGTGCTCCAAGCTAAAATTCAAATTTTTCGCGGACTAATTTACAGGCTTGTAGTATACAACTACTTATATGAGGACGGCACAGCACCACGTTGGCAAATGTATGAAAATTTCCGTTTTCTTGATTTATTACAGAGAAAAGAATACGGCAACGGCGTATATAGATGTCTATGTGGATTTGTTTACGTGAGCAAGTTGGAATTTTTGTAGGATTTTTATGAGCTGAGTTACGATTTATCTCAATTTTTTGCGCAGTTGAATCTTTTTAGTTTTTGGCTCGAAACTCGTGGTGGATTAGAGCTATTGCTAAAGCAAGATTGCCATCTTGTAGAGCTTGCTTTGCTCTATCAAATAGTGCTTTCAACCTAATTAGGTATAAAAAGTGTATGACTTATTACGGTAGAGATTCAAAACCTGCATTAAATTCCGGACAGCCTAATAGATGTAGTGGTAATTACGTTAATAACAAAAGGCACCTCAAACTAGAAATCTTCTTTTATCCTCAGGCAAATCATACTGTATCACATGGAGTTACTTCCATGTTAAACAGTATGATGGTTCAAGAAGCAGGTAAATGCTTATGTAGGAAAGTTGAACAGCCATAATCTGGAACGCCTTCCTCATTAAAAGCACTCTTTTCAAATGTATTAGGCTGTCCGGAAATTAATGTCCGTTTGAATTTCAACCGAAATAAGTCATGCACTTTTGTTCTTGAATAGCTTTCAAGGTACCATTCGATAGAGCAAAGCAAGCTCTACAAGATGGCTATTTTGCTTTAACAACAGCTCTGATCCACCTCGAGTTTCGAACCAAAAACTAAAAAGATTCAACTGCCCGAAAA